ACAATATGTGTTTGCTTGTTATCCTGAAGAGGAGAAGCACTGGCTGAGATGTCCAATGGAAATGTATGGAAGTGTCTTTTTAAAATGAAGCAAGTACTGAACTATTTGTTGTACTTACATTTAAAGTATTTTTAACTAACAGTCAAAATCTCTGAAGACCTTTGATTCTCTTGTACGTTATTCCTGTTTCTTTCCAGGAGCATCTAGTGAGTGGAGGATTATGCTGGTGGGAAAAACTGGATCTGGAATCAGCACAGCAGGAAATATAATACTGGGAAAGGAAGCATTTGAGCATGATTTATCTGCCGATTCGATTACAAAAACGTCTGCCCAAGAAAGTGGCACCGTTCATGGGAAGAGTGTCATCGTCATCGACACTCCAGGTGTCAAACACACTAAGAAATGCAAGGAAGATATTGATTGTGAGCTAGGATTGTGCCTTTTTAAGTATGCCCCCGGCCCACATGCCTTTGTCCTTGTCCTAAAATTACATAATGAATCGAAAGAGGAGGTAGAGGCTGTGAACAGGATTAAGGATTTGTTTGGGCAGAATTTCCTGAAGTACACAGCTGTCCTCTTCACCTGCGGTTATCGGCTTAACAAAAACCAGACCATTAAAGAGTATATAGAAAATAAAAGTAATACATTTCTGAAGGAACTTGTTCTTGAGTGTGGAGGCCGAGTCCATGTCATTGATAAGCGCTGGAGTGAAGAAAATGAGAGAAAAGACAAGGAAAGAAGCAACAGCTTCCAGATTGAACAACTCTTTGCGAGTATAGAGACGATAGTGAGAAACAATGGAGGGCGTCCCTTTAAAAATAAGCAACTTCAAGACGTTTCCTGGGAGATTAAGAAAGAGGCCCAGCAATTACTGCAAATGAGGCAAAGTGAGGTTGATTGGAAAGAGCTGCCAAAGGAAAAGTTAAAAGAGGAAGAACAACAGATTTGGAAGAAAGCCTTAGAAATGAAGGGGAAAAGTAAGAGTTGTACTGTATTCTGATGGGAGCAGTAGCTACAAAGGTGTTAGTGGGCGTAGTTGGGGAAATTTGTGTTTTTTAATCATTAATAAGAATAGGACTATGTGTAGGAGTCAATACCTGCTTTGCTATTCGGCAAGTAGATTTTTTGTTTTGCAGGTACGGCAGTATATAGTGATTGAACCTCGATTCATTGCAAATGCAACAGGATTAAGCTTGGCAGATCTTGTTTTTATATTCTGACCGACCTCCTACGTACAGGAGTTTGACCTGTGTGTGATAATGACTCTGGGTTAGATGGTAAACAACCATGTGACTAAAGGTCTTGGCAGAAAGACAAATGTTGGTCAGGTTTAAATAGGATTGGGACTGGCTTGTAGTCAACAAGGAGCAAATGTAAATATGAAGGGATGGAGCCAGGTGATTGATACATTAATTTCCTGTTCAGCCCAGGGTATCACAGAGATATTTCAGACTGGCTGACCCAAACCCACTGTTCTGCCTTCTGGATACATTTTGCCTTATGAGCTCCCTAGAAGTTCTTGGTCTTAAAGGAAGAGCTTAAGGTAGAATCTTATGTAACCTTATGCTTGGTTGTCAACACTGTTTTTGAGACACAGAGCTCAGTTGTCACTCTGTCAGAGGTTTGGTTTATGGGGCTTGGTGGTGTTCTGCCACCCTCTGTGCCTGTCAGAAACCAGCGGG